CAGGAGTCAAAAACTGAGGATTCCTCTGGCATCGTATGTCCACATTGGCTCTCTTCCTTTAGGCTTCCCAGTTTTATTCTTCAGGGACACACAGCAGGGGTGAAGGAGGGAGTAGGCAGAGCTCACCATTCTGATTAAGAATGGGGCTTAGACAAAGCAGAAGCTGCTTTCTCTCTCTGGGCATGTGGCCAGCCCCTCACTGAGATTTCCCACTTGCTGCAGCTCTATCTCACTGCAGCGTCTGTCAAGGATGAATGATTTCTGAGCTTGAGTTCTGGCCAAACCACCCTCAGCAACTCACTACACTAATCCTAAGCTGTAATTGGGAGGCAGGTGGGGGCGGTAGGGGGAATATTTTATCCCCATCATAGACCTGAGTTTTTGTTAACCTAAGATTATAAGAATAATGAACAAAAGCAGCAGCCTGCCTTTTTTATTTATTTATTGTTGGGTTTGTAGCTAGAAATCCATTATTGTCTCCTCCATGTATTCCCAGTCCAGCAACTTATCTGAGGTACTTAGCTATGTAGCCCACATAGGAATGCCCAAGGGTATGGATATATAGATTCCCAGCACATCTATTTTGTTTTATATGCCTTGCAATTAGCTTTAGCTTTATCTGTTGTGCGCTTACCTAACTGCCTGCATGCTAGCAGGGAAAAAAAACAGCAACAATTGCAGGAGATCAGAAGACCTGTTTGGAAATAGGGGAGAGCAATTTGCATTCAGATTAATGAGACCTAAGTCCTGATCCTGTGGAGATTACCAGTGGGGGCAGAAGGCTGAGCTACCTCACCTCTATGATGACTAAACAATGGGAACTCAGTGAGCTCAAAGTTAAGCAGAGCTTGGTGTGAAATGACAGGAATGCAGGATGGAGTGGAGGGGTGTCCGGAGACCTGCCATTGCCTAAGGTGATGGGCTAAGAGGTTAAGAAGCAACTGTGTCCTAGTGAGAGGGATATGCCAGCTGATAGCCAATGCAGAGCTCTAGTGGGTAGGTTTCAGTCTATTTTGGCTGAATATTTTTCTGTCACGATGTGGTGTTATACCCAGAGGCCAGTCCAGAATGGGGCATGAGCAGTTTTCAGAAGGTTCAGTAGCAGCTAGAGAGTGTGGTACATCAATCGTGATGTATTGGATCAGCACCAGCTCTTTCTGAGAGGATATTACACACTCCATCCCATCTCTGGATCACCCCACCAGCCCCATAAGCAACCAGCTGAAGTGCTAGCAAAACCTCCGACCTTCAAGCTCTCCCATGGTACGTCCTTCATCGTGACCCCTCCACACACAAGCTCTCATTCCCTTTGGTGACCTTATGATGGACTAAGGGCACAGCCAGCACAGTCATGGTCTCCAGCCCATACTATGCACTCTCCATATGAACCCTCTCTCTCCAGCCTGTCTCATACTTTTTGGGCCAGAGCTCCCCAATAACGCAGATGAATGCACTTGGTGTCACTCTGTAAAATCCAAGTCAGTCTTTCCCTTGGAGAGCGAATATCTGGTGGCAAGGCCTGCAGCACAGCCGCTCTCTAGGCAGCCTAACAAGCACAACTGGTCTGTAGTAGGCTGCCTAATTGGCTACACTGCCTGATTGGTAGGAAGGTTCTTAAGCCCAGGAGATCAATGGCTACTCAAAGCATTTGCCGATAGCTGTGATAGTTCCTGTCTCCTGGTTCTGTTGTGTTCCCTCCCTCTGGGTTATCTGGTATTGGCCACTGTTGGCAGACAGGATACTGGGCTAGATGGACCTTTGTTCTGACCCAGTATGGCCATTCTTACGTTCTTAGACCCAACCTTGCCCTTTCTTTGCCTTCTCCAGAGAACTTAGTTCTGTGCCTCAGCTTGGATTCTTGACCTCTAACTTTGGCCCTTATCTCTGACCCTGGGCTTCAATTCCCAACTATTGACTCCTGCTCAGACATCTAAGCATGACTGCCCAGGTCCCAGTCACTGACTGTAGGATTCTGATTTCATTTACACTGTTGTAAATCCAGTGTCACTCTAATTAACATTGCCAGATCTAAGCTAGTGAAATTTTACATAGTTCCACTGACTTCAGTGGCGTCAAGCTGTTTTATTCAAGCAGGGAATCTGGCCTTAAGAATGGAGCCCACTGTCTACAACAGACAAGAGTAGAATTTGGGAAGCTACTTATCAGGAAATTTACTGTGAACTCTGATTCCAAGTAATTTGTCCAATTCTGCTCTTCTGTCTGCTCTCAAGCAGATAGTGAAACCAGGGAATGATAGAATACTGAACAAGCAACACCACCCTGTAACAAAGCAACCCATAACTGTGGGAACTCCCTGGACCAGATTCTCTGTGCCTTACTCCTTGTGTAATCAATGGCATTTACCCTAAACCAGTAGAGAATGCTATCAGGTCAGAATAAGAGCACTTCACACTCCCTTTGCACAGAAGGAAGAAAGTTGAGAATCGGGTGCATAGATTATACAATGCCACTTTCTTGGTAGGTTTCAGTAACAGCAATCATTCAGTACTGATACACATCTTACAATTCCCCTCCACCTGGAACATACCATTCTTCAGCACCAACCTTATCTGTGAATGATAGCTTTATTCTCATTCACACTGGTTTTTAACCTGGGCTATTCCACTGACCGCAATGGAGTTGCTCCTAATTTACACCGATGCTAGTAAGAGGAGAATCAGCTTAAATGGGTTGGATTCACCAGTTCTCTAAGGTAACCATGGGCTGTGTAATCAGGACAAAGAGGCCTTAAGCTGGTGGAAAATGGTCCTTTTGCAGGGGAACTCTCCATCTGTGTGCATCTGACAGAAGTAGCTCTGCTGTCTCTTGAGTCAGCTGCCCCCACCCTTGGAGGGGGCGTGTTAGGGACAAGGCATGGGCAGCATTATGAGAGGGAGCATGGTGGAGTCGAGCTCTCCTATAAAGTCCTCCAGTGCACTTCTGGAGCAATCCACTGATAGGTCTGCTTCAATGTGGACATAGTGGGACATCCCTGTAGAAGAGAGCTGCAACCTGCTCTATGTGGCCCCTTTTTCTTCATGCTGTCTCAGTGGAGGATCAAAGCCCACCTTTGCTTTCCATTTTATTTTTTATTCTCACTTATAATTCTAAAACTCCAGATATAAACAGAAGTGGTGGCTTCTTCTGTCCTTATGAGATGTATCATTTACACTTGTATAGGGCAAAAAATCGAGCCCCAGAATTACCTCACAGGAAAGAAATCTGCAAGTGTGCCTAAAGAAACACAGTGTAACGTCTTCAGCAGCCTTTTTTCTAGATTTGTTAGCGCTAAGTGCCAAGGATGATAAGACTACATTCATCCAGTACTAGAAAGGAATACACAAAAATAACACTGATCTCACATTCCACTACCAGATCCACTTCCACTTCAGTGAAGAATGAATCACTCAGGGTTTATCAGATTTCTCATTTTTACACTCTATATAGTCCACCAGCTGGTCTGAATGGTGTAACAAATAGGAGTGTAAAACAAAATCAAAATGTCACTGAGAAAAGAAAACACACTTGAATGCTGAATGAATGTGTTTCAAGTAAAAGACTACCGAGTGGATTTTTTTTCTCCAAGGTAAGGTGGACAGAGTTTAGATTAAGAACATAAGAATGGCCACACTGATTCAGACCAAGTATCCTGTCTTCTGGCTGTAGTAAATTCCAGGTGCCCCAGAGAGAATGAATGGAACAGGGAATCATCCTGTGTCACCCATTCCCAGCTTCTGATACCATTACTGCTCATCCTGGCTAATAGCCACTGATGGACCTAACCTCCATAAACTTATCTAATTCTTTTTGGAATTCTGTTATTGTCTTGGCCTTCACAACATTCTCTGGAAAAGAGTTAACACATGTTGACTGTACATTGTATGAAAGAATACTTCCTTTTGTTTGTTTTAAACTGATTGTCTATTAATTTGATTTGATGGCCCCCTAATTCCTATATTATGAGGAGTAAATAACACTTCCTTATTTACTTTCTTCACACTGGTAATGATTTTATAGGCCTCTACCATATTCCCCACCCCTTAATCATCTCTTAACAAGCTGAAAAGTCCCAATCTTCTTCATCTTTTCTCATATGGAAGCTGTTCCGTATCTCTAATAATTGTTGTTGCCTTTTCTAAACCTTTGCCAATTCCAAAATATTTTTGAGATGGGGCCAACCACATCTGCATGTAGCATTTTAGATGTGGGTGTACCACAGATTTAAATAGAGGCAATATGATATTTTCCATTTTATTGTCTAATTTTTTTCCTAATGATTCCCAACATACTGTTAGTTTTTTTGACTGCTGCTGCACATTGAGTTGATGTTTTCAGAGAACTATCCACAATGACTCCAAGATCTCCTTGAGTAGTAAGGCTGAGAAGTTCAATATTCCTAAGCGATATGGATGCCCAACTCTTATAAGGTCCTAGGTCATGACTAAGGCTCCTAGGCATTTCAATACTATTATTAAAAATGGAGCCACCAAATCCCTTACCTGGCCTTAAAAAAGCTCAGCCTAATTAAACTCTGTGAGCCAGATGTTGAATCAACTGGATGAGGAAGGATGGGGTTCTAGCTTGCCCTTTAAAGAACCCAAATTCACATATCTGGTGTACCACAGACTGCCTGTGTAACCGTGCAAAAAGCATTTAATTTTTCTGCTCCCCTTCTCCAACTGCACAATACCATTGTTCTACCTCTGAGGGAAATTGTAAGGATAGATACATTAAAAATTGTGAGGTGTTCAGAGACTAAAGTAATGGGAACCTTAGTTGGAGTGCATCAAGAAAAGCATTACATTCACAGCAGGGATCTGCTTGTCTCTTTTTGTGTCACCAGTGAAGATTTTTACTCTGAAGAAACCTCATTTAAATATGATTGTAAGATGTTGAGGCCCAGAGAAAGAGGCATCACAGCAGAGCTAATTAAATGAAAATTAACAAAATGCAAGCTATTATATTCAGGAGACATTTTAAAGATTCCAACTTGCAGTCTGACAACCAAGTTAATTCTTGCTGGTAGTTCCTGTCTTCTTCAAAAGGTATTGTTGAGAGGACTATTTAATTCATAAACCCACAGATGACTTCAAAAGTCTAGTTGATATAAATATATACAGGCAGTCCCCGGGCTACGTACAAGATAGGGACTGTAGGTTTGTTCTTAAGTTGAATTTGTATGTAAGTCGGAACTGGTACATATTGTAGGGGAAACTCTAGCCAAACATTTCTCCAGAGCTCAGTTTTATTCTCCCACACCTCACTTCCCTTAGTCCTTTATTCTCAAGCTGAGGTGTCTGCTGAGAAAAGCCGCTCCGCGTCTCCCTGGTCTGTTGAGGGTGGGGGGGGGGGGGGGCGCTAGCTTCGCGTCTCCCTGGTCTGCTGGGAGGAAGCAGCTAGTGCGGGGTTGCCTCACCCCGTTTGTAAGTAGGGATCCAATGTAAGTCGGATCCATGTAACCTGGGGACTGCCTGTAAAGGAACTTGTTTTATTATTTCACTTAAAGAAAAAATGCAGATTTCTAATAGCCTGGAATGCTGGAGAAGTTTGTACTCTGATCTGAACTTTGCATTGCTAGTCCATATGTAAAGCCCTGTTGGATACAAAATTTGTATTCTCATCTGTATCCACAAAAATGAGCCACTGATATCTGAATTTGCGGATGTGGATACCCATGGATATAAAGCGGATATACACAAATTTGCACAGTTCTAGATAAAAAATTTGTATCGGCATCAGCATCCATATCTGCAAAAATGAGTTGGGGATATGCACATCTGCAGATGTGGATACCTGCAACTATAAAGTGGATATTTGTGGATTTGCAGGGCTCTATCTATATGGGTATGTCTACACTAGCCCCCTAGTTTGAACTAGGGAGGCTAATGTAGGCATTTGAAGTTGCAAATGAAGCCCGGGCTTTAAATATCCCGGGCTTTATTTGCATCTTCCCATCCGGGCACCATTTTTAAATCCCCCTAGTCCAAACTAACTGCCCATGGCTACACGCGGCAGTCAAACGTTAACTCGAACTAAGTCCTTACTCATGGAATGAGGTGTAACAGTTAACTTGAACTAAGGATTTAGTTCGAGTTAACGTTTGACTGCCGTATGTAGCTGTGGGCAGTTAGTTTGGACTAGAGAGATTTAAAAATGGCGCCCGGATGGGAAGATGCAAATAAAGCCCGGGATATTTAAAGCCCGGGCTTCATTTGCAACTTCAAATGCCTACATTAGCCTCCCTAGTTCAAACTAGGGGGCTAGTGTAGACATACCCATATAGATAGAGCCCTGCAAATCCACAAATATCCACTTTATAGTTGGCTTGTCCTCTTAAACCAGGGATTCTCAACTTTTTTTCCTTTCTGAGCTCCCTCTCCCCACCATGGTTGGCCACTCTGTGCCCACTCTGAGCCACAGAGGGTTTATATATTTAAGTTGCTTGGGCTTTGGCTTCAGCCCCTGGTGGTGGGACTTGAGGCCCCAGGCTGCAATCTAGTGCAGTAGGACTTCAGATTTCTGTCCTGGGCCCTACTGAGTCTAATGTTGGCCATGCTTGCCAGACCCCCTGAAAGTTGCTCATGGATCCCACAGGGAGCCCCAGACCCTTGGTTGAAAACCGCTGCCCTAACCCACCATGCTAATTTCTTTGTTTCATCCACATATCCCAGTTGTCATTCACCTAGGCCCTGATCCAGCCACTGGCACTTTGCCTGTGAACTCTTTTGCTCTCCACTGAATTTAGTGGCACTCCATGAAGGTATAAAGGTCCGTCCATGTGAATCCAACAATAGGACAGTGATTCTTGATTGTAAACTCTTTTGGGACATGGACTGTCTTTTGATTGCATGTGTATAGCAAGCCCAGCACAGTGCAACTCTGATCCTTGGCTGAGGTCTCTTGGCAGTACTATCAGGGCTATTGCAGTTAGGCATCTAGACTGCTTAATATTTACACTAAAGCCCTTTTACATCACTTTAGCAGTGCATAGGGTCTCACAGGGGGCGGGGATTAGTCTGACACACTTTCAGCCCCCTTTACTCTGCCAGTGTGATATAAAAAGGAGACAGTGTAAATGTGAATCAGGCCCTCTGTGCTTTCCTTAGAAAATGGAAGATTTATGATCCACAAAAACTAATAATTTGTGAGGAAAACAACAAAATACTTAGGAGGTTAGTGCTGAGAGGGAGCTGAGAAAATGGTTTAAGGGAAAGGAAGCTGACTTCAAAAGAAGACAGTAAGATAAGAGGCTGTTAAGAAATTTGTCTTGTAGAAAGAGATGATTTTTAAAAAATATCATCTTGAGGGTTATTTATTTATTTATTGTTTTACAGTTTATGGAATGTCTCACTGACAACTAGTGATGGGCTCAGACATCACTGATTTGATACCACTCTGACCAATATTTTTTGCTTGTCCAATGCAACGGCCCTTAGTTTTGGATTCCCAGCTGATAGGACTACGACATATTTGACATTTCCCAAGTTTCCACAGCTCACTGACACTGAGCTGATATCATAATCTCATTGCTGCCCTTTAAAAATTCTGACTCTGTTTCTAGGACTAGCAAGGGAATGAAATGAATGAAAAAATGGCCAAACTCCATATTACACATCTACATACTGTAGCCAGCCTCCTTTGAGGAGATAGCCGTGTATCTTACCCGGGCAAAAGGCTCAGCTGGATCCTGGCCAGGGACATTGGTGGGACTATGGCCTTGCTGGGTTAGAATTCCTGTCCCCTTGGGTACAAGAGACCGGGGAGTCTCTGAGGTGCCCATCTCATCTTCAGCCTGGGGTTCTTATTTGGTCCGTGAATCTTGGGGATCAATTTAATTGTTCCAAGAACATATGAGGGAGACAAACCTAACCTATGAGGAAAAGTTAAAAGAACTGGGTATGTTTAATCTTAAGAAAAGGTAATGAGGTAGAGGGATATCTGTCATCAAGAGGATATCAATTCAGGTCGATGTAAGATAGAACAAGAAAGTAATGGGCTTTGCTGCAACAAGGGAGATTTAGGTTAGATATTAGGAAAAGTTTCCATCCATAAGGTTGATTAAGCCTTGTAACAGGTTACTGTGAGAATCCCTGCCACTGGTGGGTTTTTCACATGGTTTAGATAAGAACCCCACAGGGATGATCTAGATTTACTTTGTCCCAGGCTTACCTTTATGGGCTGGACCAGATGATGTCTCGAGGTCCTTTCTACCCCTGTGTTTCTATAATTTCTGTGACAGAAACTTCTAACCTCTTCCATTCCAATGTTAATTTTGTAGCACTGCCTAAATTAATGGAGGATTGTACATTTAGCTGTCATTAAGCTGTTCTTCGGATATGGGTAATAAGACTGTACAGGCAGTCCCCGAGTTACGCGGATCCGACTTATGTCGGATCCGCAGTTACGAACGGGGTTTGCTGCCCGTCTCCCTGGTCTGCTGGAGACCAGCAGACCAGGGAGACGGGGAGAAAAGCCTCTGAGGAGGCCGGCAGCGGGACAGCCGCGGGGCGTCTGGGCTGTCCCGCTGGGCAGCTTTCCAAAGCCTCAGGGAAGCCGGCAGCGGAGCAGCCCAGGCGCGCCTGGGGTGCCCCACTGCCCGAGCCCCCCTGCGGCTTTGCAAAGCCTCAGGGAAGCAGGCAGCCGGCGCGACACAGCACCCCC